TATATATATATATTATATATAATATATATATATAAAGCATGTAGAAAAAAAAGCCTTCTAAACTTTGGTTGTCTGGTCATATAGTCTAGGAGTTGTTCCTTTGGTGTCCATAGAAAGGTGACATGAATGGAGTAAACCCTGAAATCATGTATAATACTGTGTATTCATTTTTGAGGAGAGGAGTTAATTCTTACCCCAAAAAAGACTAAAGAAGCCATGATCTAGGCCAATCTCCTTGTATTAATGATGGTGAAACTGAAGCCCAGAGAGGGTGGTTAGTGACAGAATTGGCACTGGGACCTAGATTCCCTGACGCCTGGACCAGGTCGGTGTTCCTTCCACTGTGTCACTTTGGCCCTTGTCCAGCCATACAGCTCAGCTCATACCAACACCAATTTTAACTTTCCTTCAGACCACTTTTCTGTGTATATCTGTATATCCATCTGCTGGTTTGAGTTCTCCATTTGGATGCTTCACGGGGGTCTAAATCTTACTACATCTAAAATTGAATTCTGGACCTTTTGTCTCCAAACCTTCTCCTTCCTTGCACTTCTCTCTCATGGTAAATGGCACTACCATCCATCCACTTGAACTAGGAACCTGGAGTCATTCTTTGCCCAACGTGGGGCTCAAACTCATGACCCTGAGGTCATGAGTCGCATTCTCCACTGACTGAGCCAGTCAGGTGCCCCTGGAGTTGTTGTTGATACCTCATCTTCTCACTTCTGCCATCTAGTCCATCACCAGGTGCTAATGAGTTACCCTCCCAAATAATTCTCAAAACCGTTCACTTATCTTTGTTTCCACTGCTGCCAGTCCAGCCCAAGCCCTATCAACTTCCATCTGAACAATTATAGTAGTCTTCCAATTTGTCTTTTTACTTTCAGTCTATTGCATTTTGACCTGTTGTACACTGACATTCTATTCTTTTCACAGAAAATGGAATGATCTTGATAAGAGCCCTATTGCACTTTTAATAATATACTCAATATAATTTCTTAACCCTTCATGCGTGTATTTCCTTCTGCCAGGAATACTCCTCTGCCGCTTCTGTTAACCTGGGTTACTTAAAAAACATTTTTGGGGGTTAAATGTCCGACTTTGGCTCAGGTCATGATCTCATGGTTTGTGGGTTCGAGCCCCGGGTTGGCCTATGTGCTGACAGCTCAGAGCCTGGAGCCTGCTTCGGATTCTGTGTCTCCCTCTCTCTCTTTCCCTCCCCCTGATTGCATATTATAAAATTTTTTTTTTAGATTTTTTTAAATGTTTGTTTGTTTGTTTGTTTGTTTTGGAGAGAGAGAGAGACAGAGTGTGAGCAGGGGAAGGGCAGAGAGAGGGAGGGAAAGAATCCCAAGCAGTCTCCGCACATCAGTGCAGAGCCCCACACAGGGCCCGAACCCATGAAACACGAGACCATGAGCTGAGCCTAAATCGAGTTGGATGCTTAACCGACTGAGCCACCCAGGTGCCCCTAACCTAGGTCACTTTTATTTATCCTCCAGAACTCAACTTAAATGGCATATCCTTAGAGAGGCCTTGTCTATTTTTCTCTTTCATAACAGTTGGCTTTCCTCCTTTCTAGCACTTATTTCAGTTCGTAATTACATATTTATTTGTGTGATTATTTGTTTGGTGCCTTAATCCCCTCTGTACTCCTAGCTCTGAGGAGTGGATCTGGTTCATTCACTTCTGTAGCAGCCCCTTCTGTGACTGACACAGAAGAGGCTCTCTCGAGAAATATTTGTTGAATGAATGAGGTAGTGGCTATAGAGACCACTACAATTTGGCTTGAGAATCATGAACCTTGAGGCAGTCACTGTCTCTCTTCGGGGCTGACTTTCCTCAAATGTAAAATGAGGGAGCTGGGCAAACTCTGGCTTCAGGGGTCAAATGGCCTCAACTACAAATTTTGTAATAGGCCATGAACTAAGAATGGTTTTTACATATTTAAAGGATTGTAAAAAAAACAAACAACTCAACAGCAAAAAATCAAACATGTTAAAAAATGGGCAAAGGACTTGAATAGATATTTCTCCAAAGAAATATATAAATGGCCAACAAGTACATGAAAAGTTGTCCAGGGGCACCTGGATGGCTCAGTCGATTGAGCGTCCAACTTCAGCTCAGGTCATGATCTCATGGTTTGTGAGTTCGAGTCCCACATTGGGCTCTGTGCTGACAGCTCCTATTCT